TTGTGCTTATTCTTTCACACTTACAGTTCACTCTGATTATATCTTCCCCACTATCCTCTCTTGCCTCCCAGTTGAATCCCCTTTTCCAATACGTCCCCTTTCTACATTATCTACTGTCAATATATAGTAACACTTTGCTCTTCATGTTGGCTATTAAGTCAACATTTTATTTGTTCTAATAGTGCTGCCTGCTATGAATAATTACATTTAGCAGAGTTGCCTCCCTGATCTATATGTTATTTATGTGCATCACTGCAAAAAACAAAACAAAACAAAACAAAAAAACTTCTGTTTTGACAAAATCATTTTGGTATCAGGGCTCACTGTGAAAGGAGAATTTGCCTTCAGAACAGCATCCTACAAACACACACACACAAACATTGTAATCAGAGCATTAACAAAATAAAAGTCATAATAGAATACTGGTATAGTTAGAAAGACATTTAATTTCTACTCATTAATCTTACAGCAAATATGGTACTTGATTTAAGCCCATGATATAATGTATTAAAGGTGCATCCTTGGGAAGTGGTAGAGAAGTGGGGTGGGGGCTGTTTAGCACTTCAGGCAAGGCAAACACACTGGAGAAGGTGACCATTGAACAGGATGCAGGCCAGGACAGGCAAGGCCAGCAGAGCTGAGAGCTAGAGCTGACCATGGTGCCGTTGCATTAGCATTCAGCTCTGTCTGTAGCTTGTGCTACTCATCACTGTCCATTTACTTTTTCCTCTCCCCCACTTGAGAGATAATTGTACTTTAAGAAGTTTCAGTACATTAGTACTGAATTAGTAGTTTAAAGACTCAAAAGTCACTTGTCCAGTGTCAAAATGTCACTTGTCAAAAAGTTGCAGTATAATATTGTGGTCATGATATAAAGTAACCTTTTTTATAGTCTTTAAAATTATCTTGCAAAGCCTCTGTAAATCTGCCTGACAGGTTCCCCTTCTCTTTCATAAAGTGAAGTACAGCCAAATATTCTTTTACTTCTTCAATGCCTGGTTCTTATTGCTTGCTTATTCTCATAGTAGCATATTTTCTTTTTTTTGGGGGGGTGGGGAGGAGGTATCGGATGACTTTACTTGACATAAAAACATGTGTACAAAACCACTTCTGAGCAAGGAGGTAGTGGTTCACACCTTTAATCCCAGAACTTGGAGGCAGAGGCAGGCAAATCTCTGTGAGTTCAAGGCCAGCCTGGACTACAGAGTGAGTTCCAGGACAGACTCCAGAGTTACATAGAAACCCTGTCTTCAAAAACCAAAACCAAAAAACCCACTTCTGTCTAATTGCTTGTAACTTTTATTACAAATACATGAAATATGCACTATTTACATACATTTTCATTTGGTAAATTCAATGCTTTAAAACACACAAAGCACCATAGTTAAAAATAGTTTACAAATACAAGGTAGAGAAGTGGGGAAATCTACCTATATCACAGCTCACTGATGAAGTTATCATTTGGAATCCTCAAAGCATGAACATGGAAGCAATTTTTGTTAGTTAATTGGTTGATTTGCTTTTTTTTTTTTTAAATAAGGTTGTAGTTAAATTCCAAAAATGTCATAAGATTATTTTAAAGCATCTATGTGAAATACTCTTCTCCCAACTTCTAGTTTATATGTTATTCCAGTTAGAAAAGTGGCCTGCTTTCATGGCATAGCTAATGACATGTTGGTGGTGTGGGTATGGAAGAAGATGTACTGTGGATGGGAGCAGTGATGCTTAGTGATTACTATCATGGTGTGGGGTTTGGTTGGCCTCTCTTGTTAAGAAATACTTTGTTTCTTTAGATCACTTTTTTTTAGATCACATGCCTTATGTGCTAATTGCAAGTCTTAGCACTGCTAATAGTAAAAACCCTGTCTTCTAATTGAAGATACCCTTGTCTTTAAAATGAGCATATGCTGGAGGTGGAGTAGAAGTCAGTAGTAGACTGCTTGCCTAGAGTAGGTGAGGCAAAACTAGAACATAGAGTCATTACAACGGAAATCTAAACAGATCATCTGGCAAGTTCTTTGCTGATTCTCATTTCCTGCAGCCTCTTTAAAACAGAGTTCCAGGACACACAGATTCTGTCACATTCTGAAGACTTATTTTTCTTTATTGTTATAATCATGTTGAGTAAGATTTATATGATTATTATATGGGTTTCCCCATCCTACCACACCCCTCACTCTCCTGTAGTACTGGAGAATGGACCTAAGGTTTCTGCTTACCAGGAAGGTCCTCTACCATGGAGCTATATCCTAAACTCATTCCCCCCTTGCCCAGCCCCAAGAATTGAACCTAGAGCCTTGCACATGCTGGGCAAGCGTGGATGTCTCTTTCAGTGGACTGCACTTTACCTTTTAGGAGCAATGCTGATGTCACCTGTAGTGTAGCACATAAGGAAGTGCATGGAGGAGGCAGAGGGTGTGGCTCAGCGTGGTCTGCAAAGCAGTGGGCTAATTTTTAGAGTGCAACCAATCTTGGGATCTAAACACTTTAAGCCAATGTTTGTTTTCACATATTTAATAGAATAAAAGTCAGAGCATATTGTGGCACAAAAATCACAACCATTTATGCATAAAGTATATAATATTACTTGTAATTCATGAGATACGTGGAGTTAATCAAGAGAACATCAAAGAGACATCTGTCCATAAGTTTATTTCTAACAGCAATGTGTTTATTTCTATGCCTGACATAAAATACATATCAAATTAATGAATAGTTGAAAGTTAATGGTACAAACCAATAATAAGGAAAACAATTATGACATAGGAAAAGATTTTGAATGGACATTTTACTTGAAAAAGTGTTGGATGTCTGATGGGCACCTGAGAAGATGATCAACTTCGCTAGCCCTTAGAAAAATGCAAATTCAAACAACAAAGAGATGTTACTCCACACTTGTTAGAATAGCTATAATAAATGGAATTGACACTACCTGGTGCTGGTGAGAGTGTGAGGTGACTAGAACTCTCACACGCTGGTGTGGGATGGCCCATTTTGCCTTAGGTTTCCACCTTCTTCTTCCAGCACTTAGCATATGACCATAATACTCACTCTTGGAAATTTACCAAAGAAAAATGAAAACATGTACATGCATGAAAACCTGTACTCAGATGTTGGTGATGACTCTGTTTATAGTATTAAGAATGAAGATAACCTCAATGATCATTTACTTCTGGCAAGATAACTAAATGCCTAGGCTTTAGTAAATCTAATACAATGAAGTAATATTCAGCAAGTAAAAGGAGAAAGCTATTATTTTATTTGAGAGCATCTCAAATAAACTATGCTGATGTGAAAAAGCCAGACTCAAATGGTTACATTTTTGTGGTCCCATTTATAGGACACTCTAGGAAGGAAAAACTAGCAAACAGAAACCAGAAAGGCATCAAGGAGTAGAGTTGGAGTGATGCAATTGACTACAAAGAGGGAGAGTGTGCTAGAATGATGGAAATGTTCTGCATCTAGATTGTGGTAGTTGTTCCCCAATACAAATACTGTATTTATTTGTCAAGCCTCATAGAATTCTGTACCAGAAAAGGGTAGATATTTGACTATAAACAATATTTTAATAAACCTGGCTAAAAGAACAAGGGAAGAAGTATATGACAAAGTTTTTATTTTATTTTTTTCATTTAGCACATGAACAAGGAAATTAAGTTGTACTTTGAGAATCAGTGATGGGAGAGGGTAGTTGAGGGGAAGGAAAAGCAAAATTCAATGATATATGATATGAAGATGTTATTTTGTATGCTAACTAGAGGGATACACAGAGATAGGTAGGTGGATGAATGGATGGGTGAATGGATGGGTATCAGGATGAGGCTGTACCTTGCTGAGGAACTAGAGAACCTCAAGAGATATGGTTATGTCTTGTTTTTCTTAAGTGCTTGCCATGATACATGGATAAGGAGGAACTTCATTTTTTTTTTTTTAATCACTTCACAAAAATTTGTTTAAAAAGCAGACATGATTCAGGCTTTTAAGTTTCTCGTGGCTGGGTCTCTGTTTTGTGTGTATCATAATCTTCAACACCAGCCACTTATTAGGTGGTATCTTCTAGCTAACACTGGCAGACATTCAGCTCTAAGCATCTTGGGTGAGGTTAATAGATGCTGCCTTGTGTAGTTGCTCTGAGAATCAGAAGAGGGCATGCTTCTTTAAGTGCCTTCATGGCCTGCATATGCTGATTTAATGCAGGCAGATTTCTTAACAATTAAAAAAAAAACGAGTATAGCAATGAACAGTTGAAATTCAGTTTCAGAAAACAGTCCATAGGCATGCATTGGTGAGGTCTACAGGAATATCTATTGACTTACAGTTGGGTTTACCTCATGATTTCTTTTTGACTGATTGGTGTTTAGGAATGAGCCTTGTGTAAAGCATTGGTGATATCAACTATGAAATGTAACAAATCGGAGGGTGGGAGAGTCCATCAAAGGACTCTGAAGGAGTGTATTAGATTACAAGCACTTTGTACATTCACTAGCAATTTACCCTCATTTGCCATACACTTTTTGTGCCATTAAACCGGCAACCTTGAACCTCATGAAAACAGTTACGAAGTCCCTGATACCAGTGATAAAGGTTTTAGCCATGATTGTAACATGCTTTTTATACATGCACACAATTAAAAAGCTTTCCATTTACCTCTTGGATACTTGTGTCATATATCATTCATAGATACTCTATGTTGAAATCAACAAATACTTGTGTGCCTTTATTTGAAAACTCTTTTCAGGATATTAGGAAGTTATAAATGAGTTCTCTAGCAATATGGCTGTAGCAAGTTGGCTTAATTCTTATTTTCTTTCTTGCAAAAGCAGCAAGTAAGATCAGCTTTGCTGTTGTCCTTGTGTTACCAGAAGAATAATAATAGTTTAGGAAAGAATGATCAGCTCTGGGGTTCTGTGCACATATAAGATAGTGTTTGCTCATAGCCTCCTTGTCATTATTTATTAAAAGTGAAGGGAGTGCACTGATAAATTATTATGTTTCTCCAGGGAGAGTCACACCAGGGCAGCTCATGTCCTATATTCAACTCTTCAAGAACAACCTCAAAGCTCTTACAAATCACTGTGGGCTCCTACAGCTTGGGATGGCTACAGTTCAAACCCTGAAGCACCCACAAACTGCCAAGTGGGATAACTTCCTGGCATTTGAAAGGCTCCTTCTACAGGTATGTTGCTGTGGGAACTTATTAATATGTCACTAATTGAAGTTTTGACTTCCAGGAAAACACTTGGATATCTACTATTATCTGAGTAATAGTATTGTTGACCTATGCAATTGTGGTTTGAATGACAATGTTCCACAGAGGGTAGGTGTTAGAATTCGTGGTCCTGGTTGGTAGTGTGGTTTGGATAGGTTTAGGGCATATGGCCTTTATAGAAGAGCACCGCCTTGGACAGATTTTGAGGACTCAAAGCCGCACACAATTTCCAGTTTGCTCTCTCTACTTCATGCTTGTGGTGTAAGATGTGAGCTTCCAAGTTGCTGCTCCAAGAAATCTTTGATTTCTTGATCCTAAGGAAAAATTTGACCATTTTACTAACTTCCGGATGCTGCCTTTAAGTTTTATGGCCTTTGGATCTTTCTAGGTCTTCATAGACTTTATTTAATTCTTGATACTTTTCCTGCAAGTCTCTGCAGCTGTTTAGATTTATTTTGCCACTACCTAGGCTGTAATCTTTAAATGCTGTAGATACCTTCAAATAATGCTTGGTGACAGATGAAGGGAGGGACATTTTGTTTGTAGTGTTTAGTGAGAGATCTGTTTGTAGAGGAAAAACTTCCCATGACTTATGAAATATCTTCATAGGAAACTTCTAAAGATGTATATTTTTATATTATATGGTATAAACTATAGAGCATTTACACATTATGTGTATTTTGAAAGTATAGATACACTTAATATGGCTAACATCTATGAACTTTCCATACAGGTACAATGTAATTTACCATTTTTTCATAATTACCCTTAGACCCTTTTAATTGAAGAAATAAAAGTAGAGATAAAATTTTTCCTAATCTGCTTCTTTTTCTCCCCTCTAGAGTTAGTCCTAGCTCTGTTTCTTGCTTTTTTTATTTTCTCCAAATATTTATTTTCTATGTAAATAATAGAGTATAGTAACATGAATAATAAAAGACCCAGAGATTGGTATTGGGGTTCAAGCTTCAAGCTGAAGGTCAGAAAAGCAAAGTATCTGGTCACTAGCTCTTACTATTATCTCAGACTAAATAGGCTGATCCTGCTGCCTCTCCTCAGCATGGCTGGAGAATGAATGACTGATACTCAGACCTTGCTCCTGTCTTATATACTACTCTTGAGTCCCGGGGTTAAAGGAGTGAGCTATGATTCCCTTTTTGGTAGCCCAGGGTGATCTTGGACTCAGAGATCCATCTGCTTTTCTCCTGAGTCCTGGGATTAAAGGTGTGTACTACTTTCTCCATTCCTCTATTACCCTCAGTGTATGTAGTAATACACATGCATACATACATGTATAGAAATCCCCTGGTATGTACCAGACTTCCATCCATGCTGCTGCCAGCCCCCAAGGGTACTCTCTCCATCTAGTTCTCTTCATAGTTAAGGCTGTGGCCAAGTCCCCACAGATGTTCACTGGCTCTCACTTCCCTGCTGACAGTTCCCTACTAAGAGCTTGCCTTTCTTTGCTGGAACTCAGACACCAGTCACTGTTCTGGCCCTGCTTCTAACTGGTACATGGTACTCCCCCACCCTCAGCTCTAGCCTCTATCCCAAGCTCCACTGATGTTTCAAGATGCAGCTTTGGTACTCCATGCCAGACCTCCACCATTGCCACTTCCTTGTTGAGATGTCCTTGTCTACTCAGGCTCTGAAACTCTGTTCAGGGATGTTGTGATCCCCAACATCTGGCCAGATCCCTTTTGATGACAGTAACCAGAGTGCCTGTGCATCTGCCTCCCTTTCTTCCCCAGAACCTCTCTCTGTTACAAGATGTCCTCTTCATCACCATGTTTATGCATATCAACACCTTCCTCACCTTGCTCAGGGTCTAGTACCCAGCATTGGGATGTTCCTCTTTCAATCTTTCACATGGATGTCCCTTCATCCCCCAACACATGCTAGGCCTAAACCCTGTACTCAGTTGATCTTATTAACACGCTGTAGCTCTAAAAGCCTGCACTGGGCTAACATTGTCTCTCCTGAGGGACATGTCTTCACCTCATAACTAGCTCTAAGCCACTGGGGCAACCTCTCTTGTGCTCCCTGCTATACCATGGGGGCAGACTCTGCTCCTATACACCAGTCATGTGTGCTAAGATTAGCCCCAGACCCCAATATGAAGTCAAGTATCTCAAAATAAGATTGGTAGAGATTTTCTCCTCAGAGTAATAATCATCTGTCAACTTACTACTGGCTCCCGAGGAAGCTTTAGAAAATAACTGTTTTACGTCATATCATTCATAATGAACCATTTGAGTCCTGCATTGTGTATTAGAATGTTAGATGTGGAAGTGGCACCAGTGGGCTTCTTTAGCAATTGGAGAATGAACAGACAGAGAGGAATGAAACATTGAACTTACCCAAGCTCTACTATGATTCTAGTTGTATATTGCTCTGGCTGGTGCTATGTGCTCAGGGTTTTTAGCCTGAGCAGATCTATAAACTAGCCATTGTAATTGCTTTTTGTTTATGAATATTCTTATTTTATATAGCACGCACACATCCATTACTGTAACAAGTCATAATGTATGTTGTGTCCTTTTACTTGGGTTAGAAAGCAGAGCATTTGAGTTTATCTTGAGCACAAAGGCAACATTTAGCTTTCCTTGAAAATTTGAGAAGTCTCAGCCAGAACTGAGAGTTGTTTACTTCTTTGGAAACATATTTCCACCACTGCCTTGCAGTACTCCATTCCTCAACCTCAGTGTTGACTTTATGGCCTAAGTCACAGAATAGAAAACCCTGGGGAAGAGAGAGTCTCCCATCTTGGAAAACTGGCTCATGGCACTCACTCTCCCCACTTAAGTGAAATTGGAGTCTGCTGTGAAGATGTCAGCTCAGGCTCTGGAATACAAATCTACTGAATCAGGCTTTTAATTAAGAAAGACAATTGTATGTATTCAAAAACAAACTCTCTGAGGGGAAAATAATCTCATATTTAGCAGTCGTAATTATATTTTAAAAAATTGGAGATAAAGGTCTTCATAACTCATTCTCTCCTTATCCCTAGGGTGTACAGCAGTGTTTTATATATTCAGCATATGGGTATGTTGTTGCCAAATAATTCTGTTTACAAACAGATTGAACCCAGACACACAGAGACTTGTGATGTGAATCTTGGATGTGATAACAAAGCAACTTTCTTTTCTTATCAAATTGTATTATTTTAAATTATTTTGTTTTCCAGTTTACAACTGGGACATTGGTTTTATAAAAAATTACTTTATTGTTTTATTTTCTATGTGTGGGTTTTTTGCCTTCATATATATGCCCATGGAATTGAGAAGAGGGGGTTGGATGATTTGTTGGTGCTGGGAATCGAACCCCAATCATGTGAAGGAGCAGCCAGTGCTCTTAACTGCGGAATCACTTCTCTAGCACCAAACTGATATTTTTATGTGTTAGATTTAACTGATGTATAAAAACAAAAAATGGTACCTATGCATAGAATAACATGATGTTTTCACATTTGTACATTGTAGAGTGTTCAGCTTAGATCAAATGTAGCTCTGATATTGTTTTTTATGATAAAAAAACTTTCAGGTCCTTCAACAGGTTCTTTGACATGTGTGGTCTGCTGCTGTTATTTAGAGCTGCCATGCTGGGCAGCAGCAGCAGCAGCAGCAGCAGCAGCAGCAGCAGCAGCAGCAGCAGCACATGCAGGGTTAGTCTCTTAAAGCAGAATCTAGATTTATTTTGCTTAGCATTAAGGATGTGGAATTTTCCATTTTTATAGTATAGCAAGAAAGTTTAGATAAGAAAGCAACACTGAAATACAAATGTAATATCTATTTCGTGTTGTTTTAGGACTGAATGAGATTACTGGCACACATCACTAAGCTCAGTGCTGGGTATATAGCAAGTGCTCAACAAGTAGAAATCATTGTCATTTGTTCTTTCAGATGAACAAAATGTTTAAAATGTCAACTTATTTTATGCAAGCAATGACCTTAATATATTCTCCCCTGCACTTTGTTTCCTAAATTAAAATTTATTGAAGAAAACTGAATGCCACTTAGAAAAATGTTGTATTTTAAAAGTTACTGTTTGATAATACTTAGCAGTATTTTCCTTTAAATCTGCAGTATATAGCTGATGTTTTTATGCTAATTGTCACCGGAAAAAGCTTTTATTGGGTGTAATATAATTTACGGTGGTTATAAAATGCTAGCAAGCTATGGAGTAGAGGAAACAGCTGTGTTTATACTTCCGATAGCACACACACTTTGTGTATATATATATATATATGTGTGTGTGTGTGTGTGTGTGTGTGTGCATATATATGTATTATCCTTCTTTTGCTGTTGCTTTATATAAAACCATCCAACTTGGAAAGCAGGTTTTAAATGAAAAAGTAAATGAGTTATAGATTAATTCAAGTTTATACAGGTATAATATTGCTGTAGTTTAAATTTTATCTGTGTTTGCAGTCAAAAAATATAAGCATATGAGTTTTAAAGTTACTAAAGTACTTTTTTAAGGGTAAGATTTGTTTTTTTAAAATCTATTAAATTTTAGATTACTCTTTCCAAAACAAATTACATTTAGTAAGCTAAATAGTAGTTAGTATGTCTGCTAGCCCTGTCACATTGGCAGCTTTACCATCTGAATTCCCTGATGCTTGTATTAGCTTTCAAACCACAAGATTGGCTGGGAAATATAATGGTCATTATCTCACTGTTCTTGATTGGCCATCGCTGTGGGAGGTCCTGTTTTATTATCCTTGTTTTCAGCCATTTATAATAATTAAGATTGAGATTTTCTGGGAAGACAGTCCTTCTTTGGCCAGTGGCCATGACAGTGGAGTCATTAGTACCACAGTGCTGTTGCCATTTGCAAACTGAGATGATAATATTTGAATCAAGACTAAGTAAAGTAGAAAACAATGATCCCTTAACTCAGGCCTGGGTGTTGTTCCAGAGAGGTAGGGATTCCTATAGGATTTTTTTTTTCTGAAGACAGTTGAAGAG